TCAAACCTTCAACCATCTTCTTCACCAACCAAAACCACGTCTTCTTTTCCGATTCGACTCGACTCACACCTGATAGTGTGATTCTTCACACTGATAAATCGTCATTCGACCGCGAACGGTACGACTATGCAGCACCAGAACTATGGTCTCGACCTCCCGGAGCGACAAGTCCGTCGAACAGATACATGCCGGCCGATGAGAGCCATTTCGGAATGATACAGACATACGACCCGAATGGCTCACCAAATACCATGTTCATCGCCCCAAGTCCCCAATTTAGCGGCCAACAAGCCGACATCTTCTCAGTCGGCTGCATAATATTGGAATTGCTATCGTATTTAGTTAAACGAACATCAAGCAAATTTGCGAGCTTTCGATCAGCTAAACATAAGACAGCTGGCCGTGGTGGCGCAGTACTTGATACATCTTTTCACAAGAACCTTGGACAGGTTGAACTGTGGATGTCAGGTCTTGCAAAAGACGCAACTCGAAAGTCGACATCTACCAAGGATGGTGCGAACATCCTTAAAGGTGTTCACCCTATGTTGCATGTTGTGACGGGCATGCTGGCGACGAACCCATATGATCGGCCACCCGCTATCGAAGTACAGCAGCGTGTCTACCAGATTTTAACCGATGTTTGCAACATTTCAGAACCACACTGCGTGCATCAATATTCCCAGGATCTCGAAGCGTCATTTGGCGGACTGCAAATTCATTCGATGGGCGATGGCACCGTCGGCAGCCTGCCAGGCGGGTCGAATACGACGTACGGAACACCAAGAACATATCAACACAGTCGAAATGGCAGCAGCGGGGGATATTCGCAAGTGAGTCGCACGACAGGCAGTAGCGAGGCCGACATGGAAGCAATACACCAAGTAGGATCAGTTGGTCTTCACCAAGTAAGAACGCAAAGCTCATGGCCACGCAATGTGGCATATTCACAATACGCAGGTGTATCGCAATACTCGGCAGGTCAATGGGACAGTCACACTGCATGACAATGATGAGCAATTACGATGAGCGAGTGGGGTGGAGCTTTTTATTAGGATCGGACGCGAAACACGATGGTTATTAGGACCTTCAGATATTGGTTGCATTCTGTATGCACAAACCGTACGCAGATTGGGGTTCATCTTTTTGAGGCAGGAGCAGTCATTTGACAGCCAACGCCTGGGGCTGGCGTGCTTACATGAATGGTTTTATTTGTTGAAGCAGGGACAGGGACAGGGACAGGATATGAAAAGTAAAAGTCAGTTACAATTAGCTTCGGATTACACTTGGTGCTTCAAGGTACATTGATGGAATCTATGGAATTATGTACGATTCATGATTGAATGAAATGTCAAGTTCGTTCTATTTCAATTCCGATTACAATATCACTTGTTGGTATGTGTTTAGTCAATTGCCTCATGTTGGTTGGACGAGTGTTTGAGACATTAGCAAGCGGGAGTATGAAACGTGGGAAGAATGATTCGAGACCTTTACGATCTGACTAATAGGAAGCAACAGCTAATTACCAGCGTGACAACGTTAAGGGGACGTAGCCCTGTTATAGAGTCGCGCATGATACTCTGAAAATTGCGATAATACTACTCATACTCATAGATACATTGCAAAGGCAAAATCGTTTCGGGCCCTACCGATTTAAGGGATCATGCAAGGCCGTTTCAAGACATGGATAGGACCCTGAGGAGTCAGCAGGAGAAGAAGAACTGACGTTAGAAGATGCCAAGACAAATGATGCAAGCCGCGCACTGCACTTTTCTGGCATATTACCGGATCCAGATGAAGATCAACATTATACAACTCTGTTTTTTCCTTTTTCCCCGATGCATTAGTCAAGTAACTCAGTGGTGTATCTACCGCGTAGAAAAGAAAGGTTCCCTGGATATTCTCGACGAATCGGCGTAATAGTGGAACTCTCCAAAGTTTTTCTAGGAGTGTACGTCATGGGTACCCGGGAATGTGGGGGAAAAGACCGTGGTCCAGATGGAAGAGGAGTAGAAGAAAAAATACATGTTCAGGAGAGGACAAAGAGGAGAAAAATATCTTGGGTAGAGGAGAAGATCAAGAACGTGCGGTTATCGCGGAGACACGGGGAATCCACTACCTTGGTAGAGAAACAAGAAAAAGACGATGAGGGGTTTTGTTTTGTCTTACTATACTTTGGACCCCATCCTTGGTTTCTTGTTGGAACAGTTGGTACCAAACAGTTTACTGGACAGTGACTGTCGGTCCGTAGAAATAGTGACCTCTAGCTGTGTTAGTATGTACTAACCCACTGCTCGGCAATCCGTTCAGTTCAGGGGCATTGTGGCAAGATCTAGTGCCAGCTGGACCTGATTGTGTCTCAGCATGAGTCAACCGACGAGGCTTTTAGAAAGGAGACCAGAATTAGAAGCTGCCCTCATCTAGATCGCGATATGAACGCATGTCACGATAAAGGACAACAAAAGATGTAAGACAGATGGAGAAATGCCCGAACATTGAGTGTGTCGTCAATACGTATCCAATGCAACTCAGCGTTGCATTGGAGTAACCCCTGCCCTGCTTGAGCCCCTGTAAATTGCAAGCTCTTTGTAGTCACTTTGTAGTCACTGCTCATGCAAGGCTACCCGTAGAGAGGCAGAAGCAGACCCAAGTTTATCAAGCTTGACAACAAGAAGAGGAGGGGAATGGAGCTCCAACTAAAAAAGCTCTGCGTTTCCCCGATGGAAAAGACCTTTAACTTTTAGGGGGTGGCAAGAACAAAGTTTACAGGTTTCTCCCTCACACCAAAGCGGTTTTCGAAAGGGCTTTTGGGCCAATAACCAATCGGTGAGTGCTGATTTATCGGGAAGACCTAACCAAAGGGCGAGGCAGAAGCAGAAGAGAGCAAGAGCCTTCCGAAAGAAACTTGCCTTGTCAATATTCTCCACTTGAGCTAAAGTTGCTGCAATGCAGCGCAGCGGGTGCAGCACATTTTCAGTGGATGCATGTGCAGTTTCGTACCAGTACGTACTGAAGGTATCCCCCGAATCAAGGAATTGGGTCCATCGAGGTACAGTACCCTCTAGGGAAGGGGGGGAAAATGGTGGGCACTAGCAGGATCGACTCGGATGGACTTGCAGGGGGTTGTGATAATGAGCTTAAGGGAAGGTTATGTCGATTTGATGAACAGGAGGTAATAAAGCTTTGAGCTCTCTGTTACCAACATCCATGTCTTGAAAAGAAATAAACAAACTAGACCATCTCCCGTCAATTGAAACCCATCTCATCCATTCATCTTCACATTGTTCGTCAACGAACGTCTAACGTCAACACGATCGACCTGCATTCACTCTTGTTCTCTTATCAGCTTCAAGAAGGAATCAAGTCAAACAACCCCCCACGATTGAGATCACAGTCACACACACACAAACAAGCACACCCACCCTCAAAAAGCACACTTGACGCGTGGCCGACCGGGCCGCTACTGCAAACTTGTACTCGCACCACGCCAATCTTCGTCCTTTTGGCGTGCTATTTACGGCTTTTCGCTTTTTTCGTTCTTTCTCCTCAGCTTGGGCTTTGTTGGAGAGGGGTGTGCAACAAACGAAACGAGGCTGCCTCTACCTGAGCCTAAAAGCCGACAAGGACGAAAAACAACAAGAACCGCTTAAGCTTAACTACAACTCTACAACCCTCTTTTCTTCCTTTTTCTCTCTCTCTCATTCCCAAAATTCGGTCGCTTCTCTATTCTTTGGTATCTATCGAGAGGATCGAACCAACTTGGGGGAAAGAAAAATAATAAGAGAACAAAGTTAATCGTTGGCTGCGTCGATCGATCGTTTGCGACGAGGCTTCGAAAAAGGAAAAACTCTCTTATCGGATTTGCTTTTATACAACGCCATCAGTCACTTTTCTGGAAGAAAAAGAAACGGTTGAGTTTGTTCTCCATCAAGATGCGCTCGCCACTATTCTTCTTGCTCTGCGCATTCATGTCTTTGGCAATCGCTGCTGAAGTGCACATGTCTGGTAACAGAGCCCCCACATCTCAATTCGCAACACATGGTAGGTTTTGACATATGATTCCCTTGCAAATCACTGCGAGGCCGTCCCAGTACTTACAATTACAAGGTGTTGCATCCCAATTACCCTGTCGCGACCAGGTCATCCATATCCAAGACCGCGTCCGCGCTCGACAAGCCGCCCTGTCGCAAATGCTCGACCATAGCGCAAAAGCATCAATCGTCGAGACCGCATCTGTCAACGTCAAAGCATTTGCCAACGGCGGTATGAGCTTTCTATTCGGCTTGGCATCCTCATCCAACGACGTTCTCGACTACATCAATAACGGTACCACCTCTGTATTCTCGAGAAGCGTCATCGGCGAGGAAGGCAGCGCGGCTTCAGGGCGCAAACATGTTGCTTATACCAGCATTGCCCTGGTTCTCGTCATGCTCTTTTTCGCTGTGTGGATGTAAACGAATTGAGGCCAGGAACTCTTCGACTGACGGTTCCACGACACGATCCTTTCTGTTACTCTTTTTCGCGCGCAACCTTTTATGATACCCCTACCGGATTTGGCGTTTTATCTGGGTCGGCCTTCTATTTGCTTTTTGCATCGGTACATACACAATACTTTCTACTTCTCTGAGGGGATGCTGGTTCATGGGTTTTTGGAGAAAACCGTTCCTTGGTGCTTGGTGGGGAAGAAGCTCGCAGCTGTGCTGCATCTGCATTCGTCGGGATGGATGCATGGATGGGTGAACGATTACGGTTTTGATAATAATGATGGCTACGTAATGACGTGTTTGGCATATGGGATGGGACGAACAATGCATCAATGGTTGGAATACACTCGGGGGACATACTCATAGACATGGATAAGGCACAAATCGAGTAAGGGGCTGCATACAGTTCTTGATTGTTTTGGATAATAGAGTTTGAAGGCTGAGGTCAATTCTCATTGCAGACAATATCGACAATACATTCTAAATTAACTCGATCTAGCCATTTCATCTTATTATGCCCTAAGTCATGATAACAACAGCCACAGGCATGATAAACAGGCTTGGACCGAAGAATGCATGACACGCACTTGATTTGACCACTCCGACTTCTCCAAACCTAACCCCTGTATGGACTGCCTCGCCGGTCTTATCGCCGTGAAACAACCCGGTGATCATCGCTCTTGGCATGGAGTGCTTGCGCAATGATGTCTGTACATTGAGACAGCCATCTGCAGCACACATGCCATCTGGGCAACATCCTCCATCGAGGTCTCTGCCACACTGCATCGTGTTGACCGCGCACGCTGCGGGGTGCTCCTTGTCGACGATGCATTCGTCACTCTGAGCGCAGCAGTAAATGCCCGAGGGCGAGAAACGCGTCTGCGTGTGGCAGACTTTTAGCGGCGGGCAGCATATGTCCTAAACTAGGTAGTCAGTCTCTCTACTAGCCTCGAAGCTTGTGTTTGAGGACGAAGATGAAACGTACCGGCCGAGAGCAAGCTTGGCAGTCTTGAAGCTGGGCACCACGGGCCTGAGAGGGCGGGTGGTAATGTTCTTTTTTGTTCATCTTGTTGTCATGAGTCGCCTGTAGAAAAACCTGCGCTTGCGCTGAGGCGAGGTTTGGCAGGTTTTCGGACGAGTGCTCCTAGTGCCCGTTTGTAGTTTCGAACACGACTATCACGGCGACTATGACCACGACGATGAAGAAGATGGAAAAGGCAACCATCAAGGCATATCGGATCCTGTGGTCGAGGCGGTGTTCCGATGTACCCCAGGGAGTTCGGGTGTGAGTTCGGCACCGGTTTCTGTCAACCATCAGGAGCGTTGGGTATAGAGATTGAGGGAGGTAGTTTCTAGGATACATAGGACAAGGATATTCTTCATTATGTGATGGATGATTGATGATGGGGAGTTTAGATCAGTGACGGAGTTGTGTAAGTGAATCATCTCTACAGGTGGGTGCATCGACGCAGAAGACTCCTTCCATAAATTGCAAACAACCTTCAAGCGACGACCTTCAACTTCAATCATAGGTGGAGCCTGCTCGAGTATGACAACAAAACAGAACAATTTGAGCTTTGTGATCGATAATTAGTGCAGACTCATGTAATCGAGTCAATTGAGATCAGCATCTTATTCAGTGAGTAGATGGGTATATAAGTTAGCAGCGCGCTGTATAACCGCAACTAGACAATTTGTGATATGCGAGAGACATGAATGCGATGTTGTTAGAACTAGATAATAATAGTGCACTGCATCCTTAGACGACTAGAAGGAGTCTCCTCTGAATTACAAATTCGGGCTAAGTGACGTTTTATAAAACGGCCGACAAATACACGGTATTAACCAATAGCATCCATCTATAACTCAAGCTGATTATTGTATAGCTATCCGCAGACAGTTGTGAATGAGTTTGTCTACACTACTTTGTTTTGTTGTACTGGTGTTGCTCAACTTGCGGATGCCAAGCGGAGAAGGTTTCTCTGATAAACTTATTCATGTTTAAGCCAAGGAGAGTCCTTCCTCTCGAGCAAGATGATGGCTTTTCATATCATTTTTGTCCTCTTTTTGTAGACTATTGGCGAGAATGTAGGTACCTACCTAGGTAAGTAGTTTTATTGATCAGTTCTACATTACAACCTACTCAATCTCTGTATTAATAGGCGCGCAGCTCTAAAATGTATTCATAGTCTCAAATGGCAATTATCGAGTATTTTCTCCATTGTATTATAGCTCCTATATGCCTATACTTGTTTTAATGGATGCTCAAGATGCCCAATTTTATTTCTGATGACAAAGGAGACTGTGATTCGCTGGCAAATTCTGACAAGGCTTTTCTCTACCTAAAAGAGCACTAAACACTCCACTCTAACTTTTTTACCAATCAAAACAAACAACTAATTCTCATATGCCAGTCCCCAGCCATTGCATCAAGTCGGTCCAGATAATCACCGGTCCCCCGCGATAAAGATCAAGCCTTGGATCAAGAAAAGTACTGGCCTGGCTTCAAGGTAGCTTCCCAAGAAAGAAAAAATAACTAAAAGCAAAAGAAAATTATACGAATAAGCTCCATGAGACTCGGCGAAACAAACCATCAGCATCAAACTCGACCCGGCTCACGACACTTATCCTATTCAACCTCGTTCTGTTTTGAAGAGACTTACTCGATTTCTCCCGACCCAATTTTCTTCTGTGTATCGATAGAAGAGGGCCATTTCTGAGGGCAAAATCTTTCCAAGATACAACCATCAACCGCCGCCTCAACGACTACGCCGCCGCGCCCAACAGCATCACGCCACGAGCTGACGTGCTGGAGACACGATTGAACTGCCTATAGGCTTTGCTTCCATTGCTTATGCTTTAATAAAGCCGTCATGATGGCTGAGCCTGCCCAGCCTGAGCTCAGCGCGGCCATGTCCCCGACGGGTGCGTAGAAAGCTTTCCTGCCAGACTTGGACGGGACCATCTTTTGCTTTGCCAAACTAAAATCCAAAACCAAAACATGCAATGCTGACTGCCGTGACCGTAGGGATCAAGCAAGAGCCCAGCCATGAGGCTGACATCCTCGAGGGTCTTGATCTTGACATTGAATCCATCATGCAAGCTGCGACCAAGCGGCCCTTTGAAGACCATTCTAACGACGACGATCCGAACAAGCGAGTCAAGTCTGAAACCGAACCTGTCCAGCAAAACACGCTCGAACTCGACCAAGGCGCTGAAGAGTCGCTAGAAGATGGTCTCGCGCTTCTCGTGCATAATGCGCTCAACAATGCCAACGACTTCATGTTCGATCCTACAAACGATCAGATGGACATTGATGGCATTACCGATCACCAGCTTCCACCGCCTCCTCCGCCATCTTCGCCTTCCGTCACCTTCTTTTCCGATCCTCAAAAGTACTTGCGCAAAGCCAGTCGGCATGCGCTTGGCAATATGGTAGGTCGCGCGACCGTAAGAGATGTAGCAGCGCTTACATAGGTGGGATAGGCACTTTCTGTTCTCTTGTTGTTTTCGCAATCTTTCGACGATTCCATCAAACCGATCCAAGACGCCGATTCGCAACACGCCAAGTCTTTTCGCGACCTTCAATCATCTTTCGCGCAAATCAAGCAGATCTATTCTTCGGGCCCCATTCTATCTGCAGACGAGCCAGACCTTCAAGACCACGAATCTCGTACCATTCTCGACTTAGCGAACCTTGCTCAATTCTGCATATGGCTTCTGCAAACTACGCCCTCATATAGCGAAGCTCATGAGCATTTCCACGCGATCTTCCGAGGCCAGGTATCCGATCTTGGTTCTGACGCACTCGATCTGTATCTCTCTCTCAAAACGCAAGTGGCCATCGATGCGCTTGTTTCAAAAACAACAGAACAATCGAGCGAGCAAGTATTGGAGGAGGTTCTGATCAATGGAATGGAAGATAAGCTACGTGGGCTTCATAATGGGTTCGATCTGACACATGCCGACTCCGAATTTATCACTTCGGTACGATCAAAAAAGACTTCGCTTGAAGGCGAGGCGTCAACTGAGTCTGGTGAGCATTATTCTCCTCGAAGGAGATTGGCTTCTTACTGACAAGCTACAGCGGTTCTGCGAGAAAAATACAAGGTGGATGATCTGCTGCGACAGGTCTCAACATGCGTCAAGACCCGACTTGCATTGATGTCGGATCTTGGGTCAAGACTAGGCCATCCTATGCGATCTAGTGAAGAAACTGCCGTCGATCTATTGGGCGACACAAGCTGCGACCCAACTCTCGACATGGAAGACCTTTCCTCATTCTTCGAAAAGACAACTTCGGGCCTTGTCCAGGACGCCTTAGCTGGCTTGACTGACGATACCACAACGACCACCAACCCTAATCCCGATCCCAACCCCAATCCCAACCCGGAGCCAGTACCCGCCGTCGCTGAAACCATCGAACCAACGCCAACGGCTGAGCCTACCAAGACTCCAGAAAAAGAGCCTTCTTCTACACCTCAGACAAATGGCAAGCCAGAAATGATAACAGATTATAAGGAACTGGAGGCACTAGTAGCCGAGAGCACGTCCAATTATGTTAAGACCACATTGCATGGACTGTCGCCCGTTCCCTACCAACCTACAGTTCCAACAAGTACTAGTAAGTTTCTAGGTCAGGTTTTCTCAGAGATTATAGGCTCACTAGATCGTAGCACAATCGTACTTGAACCAACTCCAACAGCAACAGGCTCACAATACGTACTACTCGTCATACACACAGAGCGTACCCGAACCGCAACCACCACCACCCGAACCAGGTCACAACTTGCCGCCAAATCAGACATTCCCTAGCGCAATACTATATGATAAAGCTCGACAAGCGGCTCTCTCTAAAAATTCGTCGCATACCAGGAGAGAAGGCCTTCACTCGACACGGCGACCTTGGACACAAGAGGAAGAAAAGGCGCTCATGGCGGGCTTGGATATGGTCAAAGGACCTCATTGGAGCCAAATACTGACCTTGTTTGGACAAAATGGCACAATATCAGATATACTAAAAGATCGGACACAAGTGCAACTCAAAGACAAGGCCCGAAACCTCAAGTTGTTCTTCCTCAAGACCAACTCAGAGATGCCATACTATCTCCAAGCAGTTACGGGTGAGCTCAAAACACGCGCTCCTACACAGGCGGCCAGGAAAGAGGCCGAGGAACGCGCGAGATTGAGTTCAGAAGAGCAGCGTGCGACGCTCAACGGGATAATGACTCTAGCCGGAGGTCTGCAGAACCCGCAACAGGGGCAAGGAAGAGCAGCGGGAACTCCAACCTCAGCCGTCGGCTCGGGAGTTATGACGCCTGCTCAAGCCGCGAGCGCCGCTCAGGCTGCGTCTTCACAACAGGGCCAGGCGCACAACCAAGCGACTGCTCACTCATACAACCCAGCTACCTCATCCGGGTATCCACCATCGACGCTTCCTCAGTCCAGACCAAGTGTCATGTCACCACCTCAGCAGTCGCCCCATCAAGCAGCTCGTCCGCAATCTTCTCAGATGTCCATGTCCCCTCAAACACCGCGGTCACAACTCCCTCAGCAGAACCACAGTGCCATGCATTCTCCCGTCCATGCTCAGGCGGCTGCCCAAATGCGTTCCCATACATCGACGCCTGTCGGCCAGCTGCATCACTCCCCACCGCCGCAACACACACCAACTCCTCAGCCTGCGGCCCAACATCATACTCAGCCTCACTACGCGCCTGTTCCACACACTCAGCTCACTTACCCATCCCCTACCTCTACTAATGCCACACCGGACATGCATTCGCATACTCACGTGCCGGCACCAGAAACGCAGATGGACCAGCATATGCACGATAACGCCGCAGAGGCAGCTTTGTTGCAAGGTCTGCAGGCTGCGGTGGCAGAGTCTTTGTAATGCATAGTTACGCAAAAAAACGCGGAGCAATGTCTCTTTTCTTCTCGGTGTTCTTTTCTTTTCAAGCTTATTTTATATCGAATTCGCGATGAATCCGTTTGCCCTATAGCGAGCCAGGGCAACTAGGTAAATGCTCATCAGGGTGTAGCAAAGGCGCAGTTGGCTATTTTCGTTTCTGCACAAAAAAAAAGTTTTGTTCTTTTATAGATCCGAAACGCCTCAAAGGCCATTTTTTTTAGTAGGAGAGGAGGGGGTTAGAAGAAGAAGAAAACAGAGGGATGTGGAAGTCTGACTTGGAATGATACCACGAATAAGGAGTACAATATGATGGGTACGGAAAGGAAATAACTGGTATATCGCATTGAATATCTCATTCACCAGTATCAACTATGCAGTCTCTTTTTCTGTGATACACTTGTGATGATGCTTATATTATGTTCAAGTAAGCTTGGCACGTCCGAAGGCCCTGGCTCTTTAACGGTTATAGTTAACCGGAACTCGGTTCTTCTTAATGGGTCGTTACTTCATGCATCTCGCCGTCCTGTAGCGAACGGTAACACTATTTCAACCCGGATGACCCATGATCTCGAGGTTGCACTTGTGAGACGTATCATTGATGTTTCAATAACAGAGCCGCAGGTGCACTAAACAAACGTATAGAATATTGCTTTATTGATAGTTATAACATCTCGTGAACTGGTTCTAACATGACAAAGATAGCCTGCTCTATCAAAAGTGCCGAGAAGTAGAACGTTCAGCAAACATGTTCCATCCTCAGTATCGGAAAAGACGCAGTCGCGAAACAACCTGCGTAGCAACAGGAACTATATGTCACAACACTACGACTACTCTTAGAATCGATGACCATGCATTCTCATCACTATATTGCCAGTTCCATGCCTGCAGACAGATCGAAGCAGGCCGGGCATGTATAGTCGCGAAACTACCAAGTGCTATAGTTTGCAGTCAACGTATGTTGAGAACACACCTTTTACCACAGAGACGACTAATACTTGAGAAGATAGTCGATGTCAAGCTGTTGGCAACGGGATGAAATGTGTTCTAGACGTCAAGGATGGGAATACAGCAATGCATAAATACTGCATACAGCTCCGTAAGCCGAACTTCGCTGGTATTGCCCACGCGAAACTAATCGCAAGCTTCAGATTTATGTGGATTTCCGGAATGCGACAACGAAAGATCCAAACGGAATGAGCAATATATTCCATTCTGCGTTGATCACCGATGCGAGCAAGACAACTGTCGTAACTCCAAAGACATTGGGATCTTTTGTAGGCCTCACACTTGTGACGACCAATACTGTGTTGCCTTTGCTCCAGGTATTGACGTGGATGACCCAGAGCGGTTTTGTGAGCGTCATCGTCAATGCCAGAAGCCTCACTGCCCACGTCTCTGCCATATCCGTGATAACGGCCAACCTTCGCCATTCTGTGACGCACATTACTGCCAGGCACCTGACTGTGACGATGGTCGGGAAGCAGGGTTGTTCTGCCCCGCTCACACTTGTACTGATCCAGGTTGTCTGGAGGGTAGGGAATCTTTCAAGACCGAGTACTGCAAAAGTCACAAGTGCAGGACAAAACACTGCCGGCTGAGGAGGTTGGACAGTGATTATTGCCCGTACCATGAATGCGTGTATGATGGCTGTGGAGCTGAAGTGGTGGAGGGCCGGCTTTGTGAAAATCACCGACGGCGCATGGAGTCGAGCTTCGGAAGAAGACTATCAACTAAAGGGGTGGGGTACGCCATGTATGAAAATGGTGAGTTTCCATAATCCATCTAAACTCCAAACTGTTGGTTCAATGCTAAAAGATATTAGACCACCTTGATCCATGCCCAGGCATCAGTGATGGAAGAGGATGTGGCCGAAGAGTCGAACATGGCAATCAGTTCTGTCAACAACATATGTGTCAAGTCCACAATTGCCAGGCTCCAAGGACTAGATCATCAGACTTCTGCATTGATCACGGGTGCCCTGCAGTGGGATGCCATCAACCCAGGCAGTCACATCCCCAAGAGTGGTTTCGAGGTGACACCGAAAAGGTGTTCTGTGAGGAGCATGCCTGTAGCTATGGTGGTTGTCGAAACCAGAATGCTGAATATTCAAATCGATGCCTGCGGCATGGAGGAGGCGGCACGTCGAGATTCAGACAAGGGGTGAATCCAGACGATGAGAGGCCAACTCGAGTTCTTCGAGGAGATGTGAGGGATGCAAATGGATATCGGCGTAATGGGCGAGATGGCCAGAGACCACTAGGCTGGGCTGAAGTTAGTGGTAGAGATCCCTGGACAGCATGGGGCATGGCGATGTGATCCGAGCTGGAGTATGAGAAAGTGTAAAGGAGATGAGTCAATTCAACATTTTCAACCAAGCCACACTCACGTCATTGGGGGCCGGCTACGCTTAATCGAGAGGACAAGATGGTGTCGTTGTTAGGCAGATCTGAAGCTATAAATTGAGGGTATTCCCAAAATACAAGGTGGGGTCAGTCTTGTCGAGTGTGACTTGGAAGGCGGACCTGGGCCGAGCCGGGAAGACAGATAAAGAGCTTGCATTTGGGTTCTGCAAGGGCCAGGGCAAGTGCAAGGGGTCCCGTGGTGGCGATTTCTCGTTTTGAAGTTGATGGTGTTGAGTAAGAGAAGGAAGGAGGGCGCTTGAGCAAGCCATGGTGTACCTGTCATGCGGCTAGTGGGCAGTAAGCTTTGATTCTAACACTGTGCTCCTCACCTACGCTTAGGCTATCAATACAGTGTTCATAGTATTATGCACAGCCTCGGGTCGCTTGACATGACCTAACCCACGCGATGTCCCGCTCTGGCTCATCAGGGACGAACACCTGCCAAAATGCACGTCACTCAGCTAAATAGGCAAGGTAATGCACGACACATGGTAACTTCCATCTTTAATAGGTGCATTTTAACTTAGTAAAGTAGCATTAACCCGTCATCTAAATCTATTAGCCGCAGCCGCCAGGGCCTTTTCTTTTGCTGATCTTCTCAGATGCGCTTGGACATGTCGTGTACCTGCATAGATACCCAAATGTTACTACCTTGGCCTATGATAACCATATTCATCAACGACAAAGAATTATACAGAAAGCATTAGTCATGTTATGATTATTGCATTGTTTATAATTATAACATCGTTATAATTCATTTCGTCAGATCTTTCTCAATCTTCTTTGGTCTGTCTGCCTCAGCGCATACTCAATGTAAATGACCACATCGATGAGACACGAACCCATACATCATGGCCACGCGCCACTCTACAGACTCAAGTATGCTATCGTTATTTTCAACCACACTGACTAGACTCCAAAGTACCATAATTTAACTAGTTGTCTTCTCATTCTGTAACTGCCCTGTCACAATCTCTCAACTACCAACCCAAGTCCTACAATCCAGACCAAGACACTCACTTACACTTTCTTCTATCATCTGCCCCTATGAGCCACGATAACCAAAGCATGATTCTCTTCTAGTCCATTTCCGAGCATGCGTGCTGCCAAAGTGGAACAATTCGGGTCCGAGCCTTGAAGAGTGCTTATAAAAGAAAGACCACAGCAATGCGGCTTGGACATAATTCCCTTGTTCATACACCTCTGACCTTCTTTGATCACCTGCATTAGCCCAACTGTTTCTTTCAAACAGTCATTCTTTATCCGTAGGATCTATTTTCAAGACAATAATAGGTCACTTGTTGAAATTCGACAAGACTCGTTTATAAGTCCCGAGTCCTAGACACATTCTTTATATCTATCATCGCTTGCCCAACTCTCTTGCTTATACCCGAGTCAACTATCCGCTACTAACATTGACGAAACAACTACAATAAACAAGCTTCGAAATTAAGGATCAACTCAACATGTCTCGACGCTGCTATGTTGAAACCAGCCCTGATGGTCGTCCACAACTAGTGACCCTCAAGCGTTCGCGATCCTACCATCACACTCATCGACACCAATGCGACTACTACAAAGTCAGTCGTGAGGAATGGAAGACTCTTATCCGCCAGAACGAGCTCCTCGATGAGGCGAACCAAGCCTACGCAGTACAAAACGAAACTCTCCGATCAAGACTCCATGCTTCCGAGGCCGAGACTCACCGACTCTGCCACGTCGTTATACCCTCTCTTAACGACCAGGTTGCCAAACTCTCGCGAGAGAATGAATGCCTTCGTCGTGCCGCAGAGAAGCCATGCGACCCCCCTGTCCATATACTTCCTATCTCCACTCACCACCATAGCGAGCTCGAGAGGCTACGCGAAAAGGTGTGCAAGCTTGAAAAGGAGAACAAGGCGCTCAGAGACGACAATGGCGATCTTCGCTTTAGACTACGTGAGTTGTCCAAGCAAGTCGACCAGAGTCTTAGTCGCAGGGTGGCGGACTTGACCAAGCAGATTGAGTACTGGACCAACCAATCTGGTTTCTGGAAGAAGAAATACGACGACCTACGGGAGAGACATCTGGGCCTGATTACGATTGTCGAGTCCAAGACGGAGAAGACGGAGTACTATGACGACGTGCTGAAGCGGCGGCGCGTCTGTTAATCTTGAGTTTGATCTTTTGATTCACCAAGCGTTTGGGTTTCTTTCTTTGGCTGGGTAATGCATGATATTATTGGAATAGAACAATGAATAAGGCTCAGGCGTATCCATTATTACTGCTCCTGTTGGCACAGCCACCGGGTGGCATTTCCCTTTCACACGTCCCTTCTTTCAGCACAATTTCCTTCCTTTGTCTTCAAGGTAAGAAAGATCAATCTTCAACATACTGCAGTAATTTACTAAAAATTACAGTTGATACCCATTTATACGTGGAGATCGTGTCTCAGATGTTACCCAAGACTCTACGATCCACGTTTTATGCCTTTTTTTTTTGTTACGACTTGCACATGTTTGGGGGTTGACTTCAAGGCTCAAGAGCATTCTGTGGGAATTTCGATAGCACATATGGGTATTCTAGTGGTCGAGCAAATTGAACATCCCACTTGCCCATGGTCCCTCAATAACTATATCAAGAGTCTTATGAAACGAGAAGTTGCCTACTACCATGTGCTAACAACTATGTGCAAAATACCGCGTGATGTATGAAGTTTTATCGCAACCACTAGTAAGGAACAGTAATGCGTATGTGCATGATTGACATTAGGGTAGTATTCAAATATAATGTCTTGGAGATACGGTATGGCGGCCACCTCAGCCCCATATAGCCAAGTCGAAACACCAAACTGTTGCTGCGGACTTGTACGTTTTTTTTTATAGTTTTTTTTTAGTGGCTGGAAACCTTAGGAACAATATGGACTCTGCTTATCTGAGCATTATGCACTGCCTTGTCATGAAGTGGCATGATGGCAGTGTATTTGAGCCGCAACCATCTCACGCTTCATTGCGTTGGAATTACTGAAGTCTGCAGATGCACGCTGGTGCCTTGCGTTCCCGGGCGAACTGTCCAAACATCTATACGTTATCGATATGTATGAGCCAGATCTGCAAAATGCAACACGACGTCCCGTGGTTTCGCGCATCTTTACCCGGAACTTGTGGGGTATGGTCAAGATAACAACGTGAAAAGGAGGGGCCGACGAGGCAACCAAGGAAGATGGACACCGAGTGAATGACCAATAGAGGCGGCCTCAAAACTGGAAAAAGTCGCAAGGCGTTGGGAGAAAAGGTCCTATTCTAGGCAGAAGGGGACTTTGGGGACATGAGTATTGGTCGCTTGGTTTAAGTGGGAAGAAAAGACAAGGATATTATAGGCTTAGGGGGCCGGCCAAAAACGCATGGAACGGGTGGAGGTGTTGTGTTTGAGAACGCGGATGCAGATGGGCAGTGCCTTGATCCACGAAGGAACCATTTGAGAGGGATGAGGGTGTGGTAACAAAGGTAAAATGGTTACACACCGAGCTGCGATCAAACTTTGAGGGACCTTCCAAGGGTGTGGAGCAGTCGGGAGGGAGCCGTAGTGGTGGTATTGTGACGGATGTGGATGAGAACGAGCATGACATGAAGCTGCCAAGAGGTGTAGTACGAAAGCGGGTGACCACTGCGAAGAGGTTGCGAAGTCTAGGATCAGGTTGCCTGGGGTATTTGGTGTTCTCACATGACTGTACTAACAAGTATTGTCCTATTGACTCACACGGAGGGCCTCAAAGAAAGCCGACGCGCTTATCGAAACAGGCTGTGTACGTAAATAGCAGTATTCTGATCAATGAGATTGATGAGAATGGCATTTCATCAGTTTAGAGATTGCGTGTCAAAAAAGAGGCGATGACAAAATGCCATAAACTTATGACAAAACGTTGCCAGCGGGTAGATCCGCAATTTAATTAATAGTGACAGAAGGACAACGTTTACTTTCCACCTTGGGAAATACCATGGAAGGTTATCTATCCTCCGTTGTATTCCCGTCCACAATTTAGCGACCGTTGGACCAAACGTGGAGTGGAGGGTGGAGGCGGGAGCGTCCCGTTTGCCCATCCCATGCTGCCGGGTTAGTACGTATTGGTTGGGGTTGGGGCTGAAGACCTCTACGATCGGTGCACAAAATTCCAGACCTGAAATTGGTCAACAAAGAGCAAAATCAGGGGGTGGCAGACCGAAACGCACGCAATAAAGTATAGAGCTAGGGCTGGAAACGTGGTGACTGGGGCCATCTTGGCATGGAATGCGGGAATGCAAGGAGAGCCATGATAATGACGGAGCTCATCTCTTCCAAATCCACAACAACTCAAACAGTCAAGCCCTTAAATGCCAACAGGAACCCAGCTAGACCGAGGCCACCTCATGAGCCGGGTAACAAAAGGGGGGCAGTTGATGTAGCCCCAGCTAAACATTAAACACTCCATTCCGGCCGAGTCAGAATTTTCTAAAGCGCCCCGATTTTGTTTGACAAGCGGGAAGGGAAGGAAGCCCAAGCGTTTAAGTTATCAAGCCCCAGGAGCGGGAGGCCCTCCCGGCGGATATCCCCCGGGTCCGGGTCTAGGCGACCGGCGACGGGCTGATGGCTCCTTGAGTGCTGAAGCATGGATCTTGACCTGAATTGGGCTTTCTCTCCACAAAAAAGCCCATTCCAACTCGCACAAGATTTATAGTGGTTTCCTGCAAAGTGTAGTTTTCAGTGTTGTGTAATGTAAATCATTCTCACTATCCACGATGCGTAT